ATGGGCGAAATCGCCTCTTGATATCACTAACTCTCCTGACTCCTGACTGCCATTACAGACTCCTCTGCAAAAGCAGCTTTTTATTCCCAATGTTTCAAATCTGTTTGAGACCCACATCTGCACAATATTTAATCCTGTGCCATGTGTAAGTGCTTGAAAATATTTGGAGAAACAGATGTGCTCAAGAGAATGACTTAACTTATAATTTTCGTACAACCAATACAAAGGTTTCAGAAAAAACTCTCATTTGTGGGTTTACAATACCCAATCTTCCAGATCAGACTTCACCACTCAACTTATTACAGATTCTGAAACTTTTTGGGGCATTCACACATTAATCAACCTAAAAGGCAAAATCAAATTGAATCTAGTAGTAATTTAGAGGAAGTGAGAATAAACAAAGAAGCAAAATAGGTTCCATTACATATTTTCAAAAGGTCAGCAACTGAATAGGATCAAATCAAGGAAAAAATAAAAACATGAAAGTCATGGCAGTGCTAGGTCAAAGCTAATGGTCATGGGAGGGATGTGACACTGACACTATAAGACTGAGTTTGATGGCCATTGCAGAGATGCAACTGTTATGTTGGGTTGGGTTAAATGGACATGGCAGGGATATGACACTGGATGATCATGGAGTCAGTGAGGAGGGCCAGGTGCACCAACTGATTCTCCACAATACCTAGGAATAAACCAATGAAAAAAATGCTAGAAGAGTGACATCCAAAAGCCAGGACTATAGTTGTTATATCTTTAGTGGCAAATGCACCATCATTCACACTTGAAATCACTGTGAGGGGGATTTTTTTATGCAACAAACATCAGAGAAGATCTTTAAAATTACCCAAAGCATCTGGTATTTTGCATTAGAAGAACTTTTGCATCTGAACATCATTATTTCATCATGAAAGGAAAATTTATTGCCTTCCTTTCTTCACACACAGGGTTCATGTGGGGTTACAATAATCCCACAGAGAGGCATGTTAGGCCATATGGGTTCAGTGCTCCATCACCTTTTTGAGCCTTCTCTGCTTAAGGGTGGGTATTTTATAACCTCTTTTTCTCTTTTTTCTTGCTTAATGCAACACACTGTGCTTTAGTGCAGGTGCATAACTCTCATGCAAAAAATTCATTGTGCCACCATATGGAATAGAGTATAGACATTACCTGCCGATATTTGGAAGGAGTATGAGTTATTGGTTTACAATTGAGAATGAATTACCATTTCAGCCAGTGTCCCACCTGCAATGGAGCAATCTATTGCTCCCTTTCCACCTGGGGGAGGAATTGGACTCACAGTCTCAAGACACAATCATGTAGGACCATCAGCTTTCATCACAAGCAAAGGTCATTTCCTTCTATTGCCTAGATTTACATGATCATGTCATTTATATGGTTATCAGAGACCTCTCAAAATATGAAAAGAAATGTGACCTAGTGGGAAATTGAATTTCATGGTGAAGATTTATAAATGTAACTCATGTTTTATTCCCAATTGGGATGTCAGGATCAAGGACTTTCACCCTTTATTGAGGTATTTCTCAACCAATGTCAAAGGAATCCTAATTTAACCTTTGCTCAATAAATTTGCTTATATTCCACAGGAAAGACCTAGGACAAGAAGATCTAAGACAGCAAAGTATCCACACCCATATGTTGAGCCTATCAACACTAATAACCAGTAGAAGAAAGCACACATAAAAAATGATATGTGAGGCTTTCCAGCTCAAGTGATCTTGAACCCATCAAGTGGCAACTTACTATCATCTCCCAGTGACCTGAACCTGCTAAATATACTCAGATCTGGTTGTGTCACCAGGATCCCCATTGTTAGAAAGTTGGGCGAAATGTTTCAAGAGAAAAGAGTAGAAGTTCACAGGTACAAAATATCACACAAAATTCAAAAACTCAAAGTTACAGCATAAGTCAAACATCCTCTGAAAGAGCTTCAAGAGAGCTTCCACTTGACTTTAGCTTCATGTTTTTATATATTCTTTGAAACAGAAAAAATAAGCCATCAAAGAGAGCGAAAAGTGGCAAAATAAAATGGTTCAAATTTAATTTGCTGTTGTCTGAAACAAGTAAGATGTTGAAATTTACCAATGTTCATTTTTATTGACTATCATTGGAATTTGGAAAAACTCAATGTTACCATTGTTCTGATTGTTAAACATTTAAATGTAAACTTTGGAAAATTGTCAAAGTTTTTAAAGTTCATAACTTTTTTACAACAAAATTGCCTTCATGAAATTTGATTCAGCTTCCAGTTGAGCCCCAAAACACTTCTCTAGTTCAATTAGCAGCAAAGATGGTTTTTTGACCTGTGGAGTCATTTTCCCCCAAGAGAGCTAAATGGGCAAAATATCTCAAGAACTGCTTGTGCTAAAACCTTGAAATTTTGGATTTTTTTCTAAAGCAAGGGAGGTGACTATACATGAATTTTCTCAACCAAATTCTTTTCAGACGTGCAACCAAGGTTCCTGAAATTTTAACACTTGAAATGGAATGCCTTGGGTATTATTTTGCCAGAGGAATTGTAATTCTAATTGTAATTTACACTATTATGATAGGCATAAGAATGGATGCAGTTTGGCAGTTTTTAAGACCTTCCTTCATGTAATACAGTACAGTTGTGCCTTAGTACCATGAGACTGATATGATGCAGCAAGATATTTATTAAAATCCAATTCACTACTGTCTGGAGGATGAAAAAACAGGAATGCTGGCCTTATGAATGTATTTCCTATGTATCTTTCTCTCTCTTCATGAAAATTCCAAGCTAAGCTCTGTGCATCATCTGGGAGAGAGGTTTATCAACTGAGAAGGAGGGCATTGGGGAGACACCCATATGTGGAAGAGGCTAAATATGGCCACAACTCTCCTGGCCATGCCCACTCTTCCTCCCAATCTTTCCCCATGACTCTATTTTGACTCAACTATAATGGCACAGTGAAAATCGGTCCTGATTTGTCTCTTTTTGTCCCATCCCAAGTACATTCTCATCTGAGTGGAAGTGCAACATTAGGGAAAAAAGTCAGAAAGCAAGTAGGAAAGAAGAGTCATACTGCAGACAGCTTCACAGAAGTTAATATTTTCTGAGCAGACAAAGTGGTTCAGCTTCTTGATGTCAATACGAGCCCCATGAAAAACCTCCTGCTCTTCTCCATCCCTCTTCTCAACTTTCACTCTTTCTGTTGAAGGAAAGGAAACAACAAGTCAGAATGCTGGAGAGAAACATCAGGAGATACTCTTTAGGAAGACAGATGTGTTGACCCCATTGTGGAAGGGATCCATAAGTAAAGACAGTCTTGACAGAGACGAGGTTTGTTTCCACTCGGAAACAAAGATTCCCAATACTGTTCCCTGACACAATCAGATGTTGACTCAGGTTCTTCATCCGATCCAGGATGCTCCTCACTGGCTTCAAGGAAGGGATGCTCACACTTGCCTGCCAAATGCATACAAGCAAGGTCACAAAGGCATCCCTGAAAAAGCTGAAAACGAGTTTCCCAGCTCCATTTTGAAATAATTACCCCATCAAGACTTTGCATTTTCAAGCACAGAAGAGAGGTAGAGAAAAGGGAGCAGATGCTTACATCAAAGACAGGGAGGTCAGGAGGTCCACTGTAGTCAGACCAGAGTCTTCGAGGTAACACTCCAACGGGAATGTCATGAACACAGATCCTTGATAAGGACAGTGCTGAAGCCTAGAGATAAAGATATAAAGAGACTCCTTTCAGTTTCTGGAAAGTATAGAGCAAGCATTGCAAGTCCACAAAGAAGAGGAGCTTTCAGGAGCCAAAGTGCAAGTTTTTAAGCTAACTACTCTAAATTCTACCAAGCCCAGCTTTATTTTTGCCAGAAAAGATCAATGACATTTTTATTACCTCAATTTAATCAGTTTTAGCCCTTTTCCATTTAGTCATGTTTCATGTGTCCTGGTGGAGGTTAAATTTTATTCTAGAGTTATCCTACCCAATTGTAAGGTTTTAGTAACATTTTAGCCCTATATTACTTTAAATTCAGTGAATCATTCATATTCACTAATCAGTGCTTCATTGATAACCTCTTTTTCATTAATAATCATTTCAACTTTTAATTTAAAGGATGTTTTGGCACCATTTTCATTTCTTAACCTCATTGGTGAAGTCCCTATTTCATTTTTGTGTCAAAATGGTTTTCTTCATTTCAATAATTTCAGTCTATCTCAATCTTTATCATCTTTGCTAATTAAATAGTCAGACAGAGAGGACAACATATACTGCAGTTCAGAAGTCCTGCAGGATTATGTTCCCATTTGAACTTCTCAGTTGTTGAGCTATCCCTGAGGACAGAATTTATGTAGGTAAAAACTTATTTTCAAACCCAAGTGAGGAATCAGCATCTATTTCTGTTTTTCCTCACAGAAAATTATAATTGAAGTAGGATACTAATCCATTTTTGAGCAATCAAAACTCACCCCTGTCATGGCATTTCACTGTCAGACTGCATCTATACACAACAGATTCATCTTCTTGTGAGTATAGCTAGCTAAGATAACTAACATTGGGTTTTATTGCTCTAGTGAGTGGGGTTATGCCTCAGTGCCTGAACTCAATTTCCATCGCCATTTCTGTAAAGACTTCGATCTGATTCCATAAGCTAATAGATTTCTGTCAATAAAGAAAAGGGGAGGGAATTCCTGTTTGTCATTATTTACCACTGAACCACACAGGCCTTGTTGGCAGTTTGGAGACATGCAGAACTCTAATAATAATAATAAAATTGGTGAAAAACTGACAAATGAGACTTTCCAAACTTTTCTAACAGCATCTTTTGTAAAGATGGCAAGAAATTAACTTTGAATTGTATCAAAATGAACTCATGGGATATCCAAATTTACATAAATTTCTATTTCAAAGAGGACAATTTTAAATACCAATACCCAGCTCAAGGTTTAGGACATAAGGTTCTTGTCCATGTAAATTATATTCTTACAAACAGCTCAACAACTGAGGAGTCTGAGTAGAAACATTTTGATGCAGGACATTTGCCTTGTAATTCGATACTGGAAATCTTAAGACCCTTTCTAAGTTTTTTTTTTGGTGGGAGGTAGTAGGATTGTGGAAAGGGGAGAATTCAGACCAATTCAATCTCAAGGGTGAGGCAGGGGGAATGCTTCTTGGTCAGCTTCAGCTTCACTGATTTGGCATTCTGAGAACTCTTGAAGGATGATAGTGTCTTGGCCAGCTTACCTATGGGCAAGAGATGAATAAGTATGGTGAGCCTGCAAAGACCAGTAAGTTTACTGCTGGAATGAACGTCATGGAAAAAAATTCAGCTTGTATTCCATTATATTTAATAAAATTTCACAGAGTACTGCATTAAATTTCACTGGATATCATATAATATTTACAGAGTTTTTCACACACAAAGACAAGAAGAGCTGCCTCTTTTGTTTCCAAGGAGCAAGGCCAAAGTTCCAGATTTTGATTGGGATGCAATGAGGTATTTCAGCCCCTATTGGCATTCTGAGCTGATAATAAGAGCACTCCTCCCACTCATCTCCAGGCCTGACCCTTCTTACATTTATATTAACAACTAGGACAATAAATTTTATATAGCTCCCACCAGGGAAAGGGTAAACACAGCAATTTTCAAACTGGGGGGCATGAAAGGGTTCCAGACAGGACCTGGTCTTCTAAGTTTTTCTTTAAAAAAAATGTATTTAATGTTCATTTGTAAAATTATGCTTAATGCATATTTTTCTTACTGAAAATGTTTCAAATTCCTTCACAGCCAAGTCAAGGCACCCAAAAGAGGCAGATTTCAGCTGAATCTCAGAAAAATGAAAGGAAGGAGCTCTTCTACTGCTCTTTCTTTGAAATAAAGGGTGGCACAAAAGTTGCACCCCATTGGGATTTTGAATAATAATTTTTTATTTATTTATTAAAGTAAATGTTCAAATTGTAGGCCATTAACTGATCAATTTGAAGCACCTTGCCTTCCTTACATCAAAACCAAGCTCACCCTCTTGTCTTGCATCAATTTTGCAGCCATCACTTACCTGGAAAGAATAAAATATTTTTTTTCTCCATGGGGCATGACTTTTGTGCCACCCTGTACAAGACCAAGGTCTTTGGTTCTTTCTCCAGGAGTACAAGACTAAATGAAAGTAATCCTCTAGCACATGCTAAGAAATCCTGTTTTTTTCTCAAGGTGTCTTTTATCTATCACTTTTCTCCTATAACCTGAGTCATGATGACAATGCCTTATCTGTGTGGAACTGATTTCTCTGAAGGAGCTACAATGAAAAGGAAAAGTTGATGCCATTGGGATGATGGAAATTAGCTTTGCATCACTGATTTTCCATTCAATCCCAGAATTGATCGCTTGTAAGTTCAGGAGCAGCCTCATCAGTCTTGTTTTAGATTTGCTGAACCAGTTGCTAGCTGTGGCTCAATACTTGAACAAATGGATGCCCTTTTCTTGTATTTATTCATTGCATAATGTGAATATATTTCCATTAGGTAGATTAACTAAAACAGGATTGTGGGCATGGATACAAGTGATTTTTTCAGATGGTAAGGGGGGTTCATGATGCTAAGTTGGAGTGACAAGGGGGGCACATGCAAAACAAAAGTATGAGAACCGTTGGGCTGAAGTTCTCCAGCAGATATGGTCCCTCAAGCCCCTCCCCCCATGTAATGTTGGTAGTCTGCCTCTGAGCCATCTTCAAAGCTGTGAAGTTTCATTTATTTGCAGACTTTCAAAAATGGACATAATACTTACAATGGAGTCTTACCAATGTTGCATACAACAGAATAACAATGTGGAAGCTGTTATTGAAAATTGAAATTGGAATGAACCTGGAGTTATTGTCACATCTAGTTGGCATGGACTGTGTATGTGAAGAAAATGTCATACATGCAACTATCATAAACTCTAAATTCTTCTTTCCATTTGCCTTCCTGAACCTATTAGTACCAAAAAAAAGAAACCCCCTTTGGTGTCATTATGTGAAGAGCTATATATTTCTTGCAAAGAACTGACTCTGGCCAGTTTTTAGTCTGCTCACACAAAAGTTCCAAATGCCTCTTGGCTCACATCTTCTCCCAGTGACATAGAAACTTTTTTTGCACTCTTGAAAAATTTACAAATTTTGCACAAGAGGCTTTGCTCAAAACCATCAACATAAATAATACTTTTATTTGGCTCAACTCATCACTACAAATTCTGCAGCCACTTCCAACCTATTCAGAATGGCTCTCTGATTACTTTCTGACCACCAGTTACCTATCCTGTTAGAATTAAAACCTACCCTTAGCATTCATATCAATGTGATTTTTCTTCTTAAAGCAAATGCATCTTTGAAGAGATACACAAATAGCACAAGTGAATCAGCCAGCTTTTCCCTTACATAAATCCCACATACTACTAACTTCAATAAAAGGAAAACGGGTCAATATGCATTAAGAGCAGATTTTTATAAAGCAGACATGTTTTTAGGGTTCAGTGATAGTCAACTGACTCATAAATGAATAGATGCTATCTATATTGGTTCCCAATAGAGAATGATTGCAATATCTAAAAAAGCCTTCAACGACCACTGAGATACTTGAGAGGTCGGTATAGGTCAATGACTTCTAGTGGCAATGGGCTGCAAATTCACTTCTTGCAGCTATAGTCTGATATAAAGTATATTTTACTTCTATGGTTTTATGATATGGTACTGAAAAGCTGTGGGCAAAAGATAGTCTCAACTAAAATACTGACCTTTTTCAACCTACCACAAACACCTTCTGCATATTGCATCATGCCTAAAGTCAATAAAGATTGACTGACTATTGGAAATGGGAGGAACAAACCAGTCTCAAATTCAAGGAGGATCTCATTATGCTCAGGAGTGACACCATCCATGTTGTATTCAGAGAAGAAGTTGTTGGCATCAAGTTCAGCCCAAACGAGGACTCCTCCTACAGCTCCACTCTCCAGCATGATCAGATGAACCTGACTTGATTGGATCCTCATCACACACTGTTTTCCCTGACGGCCTAAAAGGCTCACCACCTCTTCACAAATACAAAAAGTCATCACACAAAATCAATGCCTTTCTGTACAAAAATAAAAAATGGAGGAATTTGGCATACGTGCAAATTCCCGAATGGACACAGGATCCACCAGCTTGGCACGAAACTTCATTTTGACTGGCAATGCTCTTTTCCTTAAAATATTATGTTGTTCCACACTTGAGCTTGAGGTCTCAACTCAGCAAATGGAAAGAGCTCATCCTCGATGCAGACCACTATTATCTTCATCTGTAAATTACCTATGTTTGGAAAGTTATGCCCCCTGGTACCTGGAAGCTATTAGTAGTTTATAAGGGCAAGATATTAGATAAAAGTAGCTGGATAATATTTCCTTATACTGGTACATAAATTAACAGAGATATAGATACTACAGTGGATGCAGCTTATTGTGATCACTGGTTATCATTATAACCAGTGATCAATACAGTTAATAGTGCAGTATCTAAGATATAGACACAAATCTCTGAAGTACCTTTGGATCAAGCACTATGAAACTATTATTATTAACTATGAAAAATGTCTTCCCATGCTTTTTATATTTCCATACTGGTAGGAAGTAGATCAGCCTAATAGTCAGTCATAGAGAGTATTTTCAAAATTCCCACCTCAGATATAAATGTTTCTGATTTGTATAGGGAGGCCCATAAGTCATGATTGGTTCAAATAAACTGAATGACACTCTGTGTCTGGCATAATTTATCCCATACAGGCACAAAGGATTTATAAATAAGTAAATTATATAAGCTAATATCACTTATGCTTCACTATTGTAGGCAAATACTTATATTAACCCTAACCCTATTGTACTTCTTTTGAACTGATCACAACTTATGAGCCACCTTATATAATTGGGACAGAGATATCTCATGATAAAGAAGTTCCTTAACTCTTTCGCTATGGCAGTAGACTTTTCTCACACAGCAGCTAGTATTCCCTAACCCATGTCTATTAACCCTTTGACTGTTAAAACACAGGGGGGATGACTGATACGTTTTCATATGAAAATTGGCCCTGCTTGTTTAAAAACAATCGTTTATGTAAGATAATTTCATATCATGATAACTATTGAAGATAGCAGTTACATGCATAAATAGCTGTGAAGTAACCTAGAAACAGTGAAAATTTCTGAGCCCAAGAACATACCCATGCTACCACTGCATAAGCCCGAGTATGTACTTGGGCAAACAGCCAAAGGGTTAAATTATGCAGCAAAAGAGCCAAGTTAAAAAAAAAATTTCAGATTGAAAAGTATTTGACAATATCTGTGAAGTATTTAGAAAAGAGACAGAAGACACCTAAACTAAAGCTATTCAAGATACAGGCACAGATATGCACCAACACTTGATGGATGGCCATAAAATACTTGGATATACTTTGCCCATCTCTGAGCAATATTTGTATCCAAGTGAAGTCATACAAGCAGAACAGTTGGCAAGCTCCTATGAGTCATGTCAAGAAACCAAGGAATCATGAAAACTGTATCAATTGACACATTCCAATAAGAGGAAGAAATGAAAAAAAAACACAAACACAACAGTTGGCCTTTAGTATCCCAATGGATAAATAGCACCACCTGCTTGGAGCTGATAGGCACAATTCAAACTAATTAAATAATAACTATTCCCAGAATAAACTCCCTCACTTTCATTATTTAAAAAAAACCACATCAATTCTCAATTCATGAAACTGTATAGATGGAAAACATACAAGGCGTATGAAAAGTCATTATTTTAAAATTGTAATAAATTTTGTCATTTTTGGATTGGAACAATGGTTTTTGTGCCAAAGGAAGCAAAATTTGATGGGGTTTTATGATTCCATAGCTTATTTTTTCTGCAGTAACACTCCACAGTGCCAAAATGGAATATTTGATACCATGCACAAATAGTTACAGGGTATGAGGTGTGGAGGTGTAGGAGGAAGGAAGTTACATCCAAAGCATTTTTCTTCTACTACCACCTCTTGCCCATGATGGAGGACCATGGTATGAGGTGTGGAGGTCCTTTGCCAAGGTGCCAAGGCATTCTCCTCCCACCAGGGAGGAGAATGCCTTGGATGCAACTTCCCATCTCCTCTGCCTCCACACCTTCTATCATGCAGCTATTTGTGCATGGTGTTGAAAATGCAATTTTGGCACAATGAGGGGTTACTGCAAAGAAAATTATCAACGAAATCATAAGACCCATCAAATTGTGTTTCTTTTGGCCCAAAAACCATTGTTCTAGTCCAAAAATGACCAAAGTTATCACAAATTTAAAATAGTCAGTGACTTTTCATACACCATTTTTGTATGATATTGAAGGAAAGCAAATGATCCCATGAAAAGAATATTCAATCAGGAGGTCTTCCTCCTGAATGCCACAGAGGTCACAGTACTTCCAGTCTTCCCACCAAATGAGATCTGGGGATAAGGAATCTGATCTAACAGCTGGAAATCTGGAAAGAAAGAAACTTTGCAAAATATATTTCTCTCTAGAGCAATGCAATGATAGCACAAGAGAGGGGAAAAGGATGCATACAGGAAGAAAATGCAGCAATGAGTTCCTCTTTGTTCCAATTACATGATGTAATGAGGAAAAGGCCACCAGGACGGTTCAGAAAGGCCACATGTTTCACATAGGTCTCCCCTTTACCCTCAGAGTCTTGTGGTGAGAGACGGATGGCATCATAAGTCCCCTTATCAAGGATCAAGCCAAACTTCCCTTGACCAAGCTGCTCAATCTCTCTTTCTTCCAGAATGTCACATGTATGCAATGATATAGGATTCCTGGAGGGAATCTGTTCCTGTGCCACTATAACTGATGCCAAGTCAATACCTTTCTCACTATAGTCACATCCTGTCAAGTTATCAAACCCTTCCTTTTGCTGAAAAGAAAGAAATACAGTTTAGATCTGTGCCTCAGCCAAAAGAAAGAAGACAAAGTTAAAAAAAAAAAAACCAACAAGAGCAAGAAGGAGAGCTGCATTTCCACATCCAATATCAAGTATTGCCTCATTTGCACAGCATTTCTCTTTAACCCACCTGAAATGAACGTAAGAAATTTCTTAATTAGTGAAAAGTGAGATGAATGCCCAAGCATGAGCAAAAAGGAACAGAGGGTTATACTTGACTGTCTGTCTCATAACATTCTCCCCAAACCAGATTTCACCCATATCTCCATGGTCTAGGAAATTCTCCAATTCCAGCTCATATGAGGACTCCCAGCTGCAAGAGATTGAAAGCAGAGCAATATTCTTATGATGTCTCAGCTACTCAAAAATTAGAGAGATTGGACTCACTATTCGTGAGTTCCAAGGTTAGAATAAGTGGTCTCATTTTCATCTTCATCCATGGATTAAACCCCTCCTCACTCTTTGCAACTGATAATTTGAACTGCAAAAGCAATCATGCAATGATCAATTATTTTCAAGACTGCTGTTGTGACACAGAGAATTCATGCACAATGTGGACGAAAATGAATGCCCTCCATGTAAAAGAGGGAAATGCATGTCAGGCAACCTGCATGCCCTCTAGAACCATATGGTATGTTGCCTGTAGATATCAGCACATTGAAGGACTCAGGTCATCATTCAAGCCAAAGGAAATCTGACACTATATTAATAAGAGATGCAAAACCTATGTGTGGTGCAGAAACTTTCAATGATTGGGTGGGCATTCACTTATGTCTATATAGTGTATGTAGGAAACAACCTGAGAAAATATCACAGAAATCACTCCATTAGAGCCAAAAACATGGCAAATGCAAACTGTGTTATAAGCTATGTATAAAATGTTAGGCATTTGTGGAAACTTTGCAATTCTTCCAGATAATGGCTCAGGTTTTATGATGATGACTGAAACATGTCTAAGCATAAAATAAAATCCATTGTCAGGACAAATACTACAGCTAATACAAATTGACTTTTTGCAATCTGAGAATTATCCATCCTGAATGGGCCTTCTCCAAGTCAGACCCAGCCCACATCCAAGATGATCAGCAGGCCTTAGCCATGCTTAGAGACCTATAGGCTAACCTGAATGTGAACAGCCATTCTGCAAATTACGTTAGGGCGATGAAGCTCAAGTCTGAGGTGTTACGGTTTCATTGGAAAATCATATTTGGCTAACGTTAGGCCTACCATCAGCCAAGACCTGGGCTATGTAAAAGCATATTTGGGAATAGAATTGAATTACTTTTTATTTCCATGGATTCTGGTCGTCAAACACCTCGCAAGTTACAGCACAAAATAATACAACAAAAGATTATAAACAAAAATCTCGGTCAATGACAAAAAGTCTTAGGCAGAAATGCATACAAAATGACTTTTAGAAATATTTTTGACGATTTATATCATGCTCGGGGGAGATAGGCCTGTTCAGCTGAAAGTTGGCCAGGCGCGGTTGGTTAACCGTCCGCGCGGAAAGTAGTCCCATCAACTGCCCGCACATCGTTGTTGCGGAGAGTAAGCCGACCCGCGGAGAGTAGGCTGCTAGGCCTATGCCTTAGCCTCAGCTTAATATTGGGCTGAGTGAAAGGTTTAAGGATGAACCTGAATGAAACCAACCTGACACCTAGGCCTAATATGCCTATCCATTGTTTGACCTGACGTTAAGTTACATAAGGTTAGGTCTAATACAACGTTACATTTAAGAGTGTTAAGTTGCTGTCTCCAAATAGCAGCTTCACTAATAGATTAGAACTCAACTAATAGATTCACTGTCTGGATGTGCTGACCACATTGGCTGTAGTGAATTTTCTCATATTTTCAACTGAGCAAAGCACCCTGACCTGTTTTATGTTAATCAGTGAGGGCTAATTATGGAGGGCTGGAAGCAAAGTACACTTATGCACATACGTCCCCTTATGACTCCAGTTATAGTGGCCTCCTTTGGTTTGCTAACGATGAGGCAAGGAATCAGATTTTGTAACATCTTCAAATCTTCCTGGTCTTTTGTAGGAATTCATTCACATGAAAATTCCCTCTTTGCATGCCTTTCTGTCATTTTATTCACATTCTCCTCAAGAGCCTGGATGACCTTGCCTCTCATTCTCTGCCTAGAGTCCAAGTTTGCAAGTACTGTTGGCATCCTCATTTGCTGCTGATGTACTAGGAAGGATATCTGGCAAGTCAGGCTCTTGAGAGTCCCCACTTCTGGTGTTTTCTGTAGCCCCTTGGTCATACACATCAGAAGGAAGATCAGGAAGTGGATTGCCAATTCACCATCTGGGGTGTGGCCCAAAGAGAATGTGATATGGAATGTTCTTAATTGATGACACCCATTCAGTGTTCATGAAGGCTGGTGTGAAGCAATGCATATAATTGTACAGGAGCATATTGCTGAGCAAAAACTGCTGAAAGTTTCACAAAAATTGCATTCCGGGAAGCAACTTCATCCAATGCAAGTTGCTTCCCTGTTCCATGGAATGTTGGAGCTTTCTTTTCATCACTCCATTTCCATTCAACCCTTTGACATGGGGTGTCTTGGTCAGGAAAGTATGTGTTTGACACCCCATTTGTTGAGCAGATCTTGGAAAGACTGTGAGCATGGATAAGTAAATTCATCAATTTAAATCTATTGCAGCAACTGGGAAACTCAATGGTTGGGAAAATATGAAGTTTGCCCAAATTATATACTGCCTGGGAAAATAATGTATCTTTGGTACATGAAATTAAAACTGTTCTTCCCACAGATCTTTTAGAAAAGCCCCTTTAAGTGTGAGGTCAGGATGAAATTTTCCTCATGTGCACCTATTTGTACGCTGAACCAGGGCATGAAGGGAAGGATATATTTCGTACGTGGGAGACCCCATACAGCCTTCACCCACTTACTCTTTCGTTCTGAAATCTTGCATGGAGAATTTCCGCATGTGTGTTTCCCCAAGAAATTCTCAATACATACGTGAGTTATGATACGCAGCACGGTATTTCCTCGTATTTTACTTCCGTCTCAGGGTGTTGTCTCGCATCACACCTCGTATTGTGCTAATTTGACGCGAGACGCATTTCTTGAAAATCAGGATTAGCCTGGTTCCGGAACTCCGTCCCATTGTCTGTTTCCAGCTTAAAGGGCGGACCGTAATAGCTAAACGCCAGTCTCTCTACATTTTCTGCAACTTCTTCCCTAGTTTTGTTTCAGGGGAGCGAGGACCTTCGACTAGTAGTCCCTGTAGACATAATTGTACTCTCCATCTGCGTCCATTTTGATTAGATCAAACTGAATTCGAGAAAATTCTGTAAATTAGACCCATGCGCAAGAGGTTGCCCAAACCACTTGAGATTTTTTTAAAATTCAATCGAAAGTCCCCTGGAATGGATCGGCTTCAGAGGCGCGGTTATCCTCTGCGACGCGACCTTCGAACAATGGGGACACGTTGCTGTGAAAAACCTGACTAGAGGTTCAGTAATCTCGCCGTAAACGCGCTTGAGTTCTTGTAGAGTTATGCGATATCCGGCACCAAGGAATGTAGAATGAGAATTCTGGATTATCTCATAAAGTCTTCCTTTGCTGCTCGGACACCGTCTGAGCCCTCATCTTAATCAGCCTGAATAACCCGTGGATAACATGGATTATTCGTGGACGAGTACGAGGGAAAACAGGAAATTCTCTGTGGAAGACGAGTTATACATGCAATCGTGAATATGCAGTATGTGAAGGAGGGCTCTTAGGACCATGCCATGCAGCACCCACACTTGGCTTATGCATCGCATCCTACAATGTACTCGCAAATATGCATACCATAATGAAGTGCACCAAACAAGAGATGCGCTTCTTGGTCTGTCTACGAGTGAAATTTACCTCACGATACTGAAAGCGTTTTGCGGCAATTTCACAATTTAACGGAGCGTAAACGAGCGGGTAGCAAAGTTCAAAGGATGCGAAATAGAACTTCAGAAATTGGCCTATGCAGTCTTACACGCCCCATTACGTTAAGACATGCAACTGTCGCCGATCTCTATTCGTTGTGAATTTCCTAACAGAATACAAAAAGAATTTCGGTGTGACCAAAAATCGAATCCCTCGGAGCATATCTAGTTCCGTGCACTTCACAATGTCAAACATTTTCGAGGCGGCGTTCTCATAATTCGAAGCATCTCCCTCGGCCGGCTGCTGCGTGGCATGAGGCTAATAGGTTCATTGTTCATGCCACGGAGCATGTGGAGTGGAGGTGGGCGTATTCATGAGATTAAACTCACGCCCTCTGCAGTACAAAAAAAAAATAATTTCCCTGCTTCCTCTGCTCATGTCAATTTTCTTGATTGATGTTTGATGAAGTTTTTCCGCGATTTTTGAAGCATTTTGAGTAGAAAGGTGGATGGACCCTTAATGTACAACGAGAAAATTTCATTTCTTCCGCCTGTCAAGTTTACAAGAGAAACATTTGTATCATTATTAAAGAGTATGAATAAAGCTCCCTCATTCTTGATTGATCCAGCCCTTCTCGCATCCCTCTTTGCCCTTCGAAATGCAAACATGAAGCGACACTACGTGGTTGATTTTATGACCGTGGGATCATGAATTCATAGTTTTAACATTGGTAGGAGACGTTTGAATATAGAATGAAATTAGTGAGCGGAAATTGAGTAGCAATGTGAGTAGTTATGGTTGATGGTTTCTGCTCAAGCTGACCAAAAGAATAAGCTTTCGCATATATTTAGCGGGAATCCAATGTTGGGCATAATTGGTGGAAGGGGTTAGGACTCGGAGAAAGCTGCTGCTGAGGCTGGATGATCAAGCGTATTTCCTGGATTATAACCGAGAAAACAACTCGGGTTAACAGTAAATAGGTAATTTCATCGACTACTAATCGGTAGCCTAGACTAGAGGGAGCGATCACGTCTTCGGTTAATTCTCCTCATTCTCTGTTTGCGGACGGTTGCCCAGAGTGCGGAGAGTCGACTGGGCTACTCTCCGCACTGTCGACTCTCCGCACTGGGGACGGTTGACTGTCCGCGCTGGGTGACTCTCAGCGGAACATGCCTAAAGTATTGTTTGGAAATAAACTGGAAACTGCAAAAAAATTGTTAAAAATTATGATAGTGGCTATATCTGAAGCTGTCGTGTATCCAGTTATATCCAGAGTAGTATAGCAACTATTCTATTCATATCTCTACTGCTTGTCCATCCTTTGCGAGTGAGAGCTTTGTTGCTTACAGCTTGATCAATACCAAACATGGGTTTGATCCTCAACCCTACCATTTTTTTGCATTTTTTTTTCGTTTACTTCAAGTGAATTTTGAGAAGCTAGAGGGCTCAATGACTGGGTGTTGCTTGAATAAGGATCTGGAAAAGGTATGCATGTGGGGAGGGGAAGGGTTTGTCTGGTTATAGCCAATAGTTTCATCAGTACTACTCAATCTATACATGTAAAAGTTTTAAGAGGAAGCTGATGAGTTGCTCTGCACGAAATGACAATATCATTTGTAAGAATGGGTTGATTGAGTCAAATGAGTCAAAAGTTACAGTCAGCAGCATATAGGATGTTACATTACTTGCATGAAAACAGTTGACTGTTGGCTTTTCCCATATGGAAAGATCATATATGGTAGTTCTATGCAATAATCCATGCCATATAAATTCATATATTTTTCATGCATTGAAATATGGGCAAACACATGTGAAGGCATATATGGATGAAGCATATGATCCATGTAAGGATTATTCATATATGATGTATTCATATATCTGGGCAGCATATATGATGATGTACCTGTTTTAGATTTATAATATTTATAAAGGACTTTCATGTATTGCAAAAACATGTTCAGCATGCATACTTTCATAACAAAACATGCCACTCGAAATACATATCGCATTTGCATAAGGTAATGCAATCACACCTGATAAGAGACATATATGCCCCACTATTTACTAGATAGGCATACTAAGTCATACAGGTACCTTATATGCTCCTCTGTATCTTTTACATAAATGTTTTACATAAAGTTCTTATATGGCCTTGCCATATATGATCATATATTCATCGTGTCAATAAGAAGATATTATCAGATTTTCCCCCCATATATGTTCATATGATATACTGTATATGATAGACTACATATATCCCATATATCATATATGCCCATTTCTCATAAAAACATTTGTGATTTTTCCACATGGGGTGATTGAGGCCTAAACCACAACATTACAGGCAGTATGAGTAAGGTGCCATTTTGTAGGCCAATACAGTTTATTAACTTTGGATTGATTTCTTTCTCTTGTAAAGGAGGTGAACATGGGTTATCATGAAACAGTTGGAGTGCAGATCATTCCTGCATGCCAGGGGTGTCAAACTCAATTAGACTTGGGGCCAGATGGAAGCCTTCCAGGGTGATATGGGGCCACAATAAAAATCGAACAACAAATCTTTCATGCAAACAGGCTGAAATTTGCAGTACGTAATCAACTGTTGAAAAGGACTTCATGGGCTGGACAAAATGGACTGGCAGGCCAGATCTGGCCCACAGGCCACCAGTTTGACACCCCTGCTGTATGCCATATTACCTGACAGTGCCAGGAGTACTCCATGTCTAACTATCATTTGCATCAGCACTTTGTTTTAATTAAACCCTAAATTACCTGTTCCTATGTAGCTGGAGACAGATGATTTAATGACTCACTGAGTGAGTGTGGTTCACTGATCAAGTGAACCATATACCTTCCAAATTAAGCAGAAAGATCATAAGACCAACTTATTTGCATGAGGGGGGGCCTCTACTTTCCAGAGAATGTTGGGAAACCTTATATATGAGCAGATTTAGGTAAAAAAATTTCCAATAGAAATACTGAATGTATTCTTCTTTTGCCAAGAATAATCTTAAATTGTGTCAAATGGCAGAATTTCCAATAGCCACTCTCAAGGCCAATGATGTGGTGCAGACCAAGTGTTATGAGTGACTAATGGCATGGCTAAAAATTGTTCAGTGAAGTTTAATTTGAGTGAAAGCCTTAATCCTTAATAATAATAATCCTTTCCAAGAAAAAGCTGAGCAGTGCAGAAGCAGCAGGCAGGATGGTCCCTCCCATCTTCTTATGATTGTCCTATCAAAACTCCTATGAATCAACATACATTGTATTCTTAATCAAAGGAGATAAAAAGAGCTTTCCAATAATTTAGAATTTGAAGTTTGCCATGATTGCTGCATGAAATTTAAGAGCAATGGGCAGGAAAGGAAACTACAGGGTTGGACAAAAAAGGTAAACCACTTGAGGTTTTGCTATAAAATCCATATTTTTGAATGGGTTTACTTAAAAATGTATTGGAAAATTGCCTAATATGTTCTTCAAGAGTTATTAAAATATAATGCACCTACAACCACTCATTCTTCAGTTATGGCAGATTTTGTTGAAATTATCAAAATTCTGAGCAAACAGGCATGCTACTGCAAGGGAATATTTGTATTGAAATGCATGATGTTCATGCACATGCTTGATATTTTCTGATGGTGAAACCCACACTTTTGGCAACATTATATGTAAAGTTTTCACAATGATCCATCCACAGGATCAGGTTTTTTATGCAAACATCAAGTGCAGATTCATGCCTTGCAACACCAGGCACAATCCTGTTCGTTTTGAAAAAATCTGTCATAACTCAAGAATGGGAAGTTATAGACTCATGATATTTTAACATCTCTTAAATAACATATCAGGCAATATTAAGTTGAATTTTTAAGCCAATCCATTTAAAAAGATTTATTTTATAACAAATTTAGCAAATTTATTTTTAGCCTTTTGTTTGACCAGTCCTGTATATCCTCTCAAGAAAGTTGGAGGAGGTGCTCAGTTTTTATGTGGGATATTATCACCTAACTGGAGCTGTAACAATAGACCTATATTGAATCATAAGGAATAATAAGCTAAAAGCATTAGATTTATGGTCCCACTAATAATGCACTCTAAAATGCTTAAAGTTACACCTAACATAGGCAGAAAAGGACCTGGTCTCTTTGGCCATGTTGAAAACTTCCACCATATCAACTTCTCAGGGCTGTCTCATATGGAAAAGTCATATATGATTTTATGTAGAAATGGGCATATGTGATATATGGGACATATATGGTCTATCATATATGATAGACCATAGAACATATATGGGAAAATATATCTGATGATATATTGCTATTGAAACAATGAGTATATGATCATATATGACAAGGCCATCTAAGAATTTTATAAAAAGCATTTATGTAAAAGATATGGTGGAGCAGATAAGAAACTTGTATGATTTAATATGCTTATCTGGTATATGGTGAGGCATTATATATATCACACCTGATAAGGTACATGACCAACTCAAGTATAAAACATATATGAAATCATGACACTCTTGCAAGTCTCTCCCAAATGTCAAAAATGACTTATGGAACTAAGTTGAGAATAGACACTTCATTTGTTACTTCTGTGAAAATACAAAAACTATTCATGAATATGCTGAAGATGAAACATGTTGGAATAAGTGAACAAAGATGTCCATATCAATTTCAAGTTGTACAAAGTTTTCTCAGTCAGAACTGTCAAATGGTACCATCGATCAGGATCTGTCAACTAGTACTTCCAATCAGGAGATAAGAAAATGAAAGTAAAATCACAGCAGTTTCTTCACATCCCTGCCACTCATTATTGGTTTAACATGTACTTCATAATGGGAATCATGAGAATGACCTGATTGTGTCAAAGCCTGAAGCCTCAGAGTGTGTCATACTTGTTTTCAAGTCCTACAATTCCATAAGCATACAGCATATTAACATATACACCCTTTCAAAACATGGTATAAGTAATTGAGTAAGGTAGGGCTTACTTCATAAAGAATTGCATGCAAACCATTATGCAGGATTATAACAACCATTAAAATGAGCAGCAAAACCTTTCCAGCGTGAAGCATGTAATACTTGTAAATTATTCATGAAAAGGCCACAAAGTAATTGTTTTTCATACCATATGACCATACCATCAAAATGATATATCCCACATGCATATGGTACAGGGTGATTCTTTCGTTTTAGTACCCTGCCTGAGTTATTCACATTTTTTAGGGTACTAACACGAAAGAATCACCCTGTACAATGTACATTTCCAGCAATACATATTTTTTAAGTGAAAGCATGCTTGCTGAGTTTGTATTAAAAATATATGAAAGTTCTTCATAAAACCATATACTTAAACTAGGTGTATCATATATGCAGGAGTCCATCCTTCAAATGGTATAATTCCTTTATACAGAACATATATGCTGCCCTGGTATGTTTAATATATGAATGATCCTTACATGGATCATATGCTCCAACCTTATATGCCTACATATATGTGCGTGCATATTTCAATATGAGAGAAATACATGAAATTATAAGGCACATATAATTGCATATAACTACCATATATGTGATCTTTACGTATGGGATACAAATGCATCGGTAGGTATAGAAATTGGCAGCCTATATGGCATCATCTGGTTTCATGTTGCTAATGTCAATGGGCATTCATGTAACAGTGTAACTTCCATGTAACAGTGTAACAGTAAGAGAAGTGAGGAACACTTGTGAATGCAGCATGATGCCTAACTTTCAGTTCTTTTAGGAAGCAGCATCATAATGCTGAGTACTTTAATAGCTATGTTTCTTTAGTACCTATGTGAGACTTTTGCTTTATATTTAATGTGTTTGAATTTTGTTGGCAGGCCTTTTTTCTCTATTAAAATTGATGCACCTACTTGGAAACCATACTTGCTGAAAAGGCAGACTCTCCTCAGACTTATTCAAACCACCAATGAATGCTGGCAACATTATCATATGTATGGGTAGGAAACTTGATGGCAGCCCTTTGTTCCTCTTTTTAAAAACGATCAATATTTTATAAGTTGATTCAACCAACTCTACTAACTAGTGAAAGCCTGTAAAATATTGGTGGTATAAGATACAAAGTGAAAATTTCCGCAGTGTTAAAAGAAAAGTAGCAATTAATGCACTCAGCATCACAATGATTTTCCTGGAAAGATAAAAGAGCTATTCCATGGTGGTTGCTCTTTTTGAATACACCTCATATTACACAGCATGATTCTGAGATAGGGTGAAATTATTGCATTAGCATATCATTGCACTTATCCTTTTCTATTTCTTAAAGTAAATGTTGGGCCGCTCTGTTTCTGAGCTTTTGAGACCTGCATTGAGTTGAATGCTGCCATTGGGCATCTGGCCATACTTGCAGTTTCTCCTCCAAGAAAATGCAAACATATTTTGAGCTTCCTTATGAAAACATAGTAATGACCAGATGATCAGAACTGCATCATGATCAGAGATTGAAAGCTAGAAAGATTAGTGTAGTGTCAAGGAGATTGAAATCTAGAAAGAAAGTCTGTGCCACATTCATCAATTTTGAGAAAGGATTTGATTTTGTGAAACCTGGAATCCTCCTAGATTAGGTGGAGGCTCATTTTAGCATCAATTTCAAGACATGGCAACTTGTGGAAATCTTTCAGCAAAATCTAATATCATTCAAATGAGGGTGGTTTTCTAAACTCTCAGAATATAACACTGACTAGAGTGGATCTCCAAGGTGACATTTTCCACCCTTGCATCTTTTTAATGTTGTAAATCCTGCATGCACTCTGGATGCTGCCTCTTGTTCATCCAGATCCCAATGTATACCAATGACAGTGTGACAAAAACCTGGAGATTATTCATGCCCACATACGCCTTTTGAACATGTAGAACTCAAAATTCCAACCACTCTCACTCTGACCAACCACACTGAGAAAAATAAAATCATTGATGTTGTGTCATAGGAAATTTCTCCCAACACCTACTCTTAGCATGCATTTTCACAACCATTACTATCTTTCAAATTAAGAAAAGCTGATCACCTCATGGACTACTCACTGTTGCTCTGTTTATAAATCTGAGCCATCTTATTAAACTGAGTAAGTTGAAAGCTAGATTACCCTTTGAAGATCCTAGGTCAGGGGTGCACAACATACAGTCCAGCAGATGCATGACAGATGAAAATGGAGACCTCGCTTTCCATATTAACTTGAGGAGTTGAAAAGGAAGCATCAAGTGCAAAAAATGCCCAAAGACTCAGTTCTGTGATATAAGTGTTATAGATGTTTGTGTGATTTGATTTTATTACTGATTTTAATAACTATCCCATATGTTTTGTAACATAAAGAACCTTTGAATCCCTGCAGGCCGCATGCAAGGTCCTTGCTAGTGGCCCACCATGACTGATGGCATTGTAAGTGCTACTATGACTCCTGCCCTGTTGGCTACAGCTATAGTCAACCAGACCGCAGCCTGTGGTATGTGATTAAAAGTTGCAAGTGGCCCTCACAGTCTTTTGAGTTATGCACCCCTGTCCTAGGTATTCCAGAGATTACATCAACTACTCTCTCATCAAATTATTTTCTCCCATGATCTGAGGATCTGTTTTCTTCCTTTGAAATTCAGCCTCAATGATTGTCAACCTTGGGAGTAAGTAATAGGAAGGTAGCTTACCAATTAAACTATAAGGACTTGCATTCTCATTGTGTTATTTGGAAATTCTCTCATGTTTGGGAAGAGCCTCCATCTGCCAAAATATCCAAAATAGCACTGAATTAAAGGAAGAAACCTCCACAAATGTGGAGGTCACATGATAAGTATGTGTTCTCCATATTTTTCTGAATATAGCTAATTCAGGGAATAGTTGTGTATGCTAATTAATTTATGCACAATTTATTAATAAAGATATGCAATAGCTGTATTTTATAGACTTAATTCTTGTTGTCATTCATTGCTTGCATATGGCAAAGCACTTTGTCCCTTTTGAAGTCCTAAGCTAAGGATACGTTAAACAGAATGGCAGGCCTATGATTTCACAGACATGGACCTAAACAATATGTGATCATAACTTCAGCATGACTCCAAAGCAAATAGTTATTTGATAGCCTTTTAAACCTATGGATGCATTGATAAAGCATTCAGTTTAGTATTCTGAATGATTTTATCTTCTTTGCAGAAATCTAGTGATGGAGGTGGAACCAAGGCATCAACAGTGAGAGAAGTTATTCCCAAAGAGAAGGATTTGTTGGAATTCACCCCTGATCTCATCACAAAGCATTTCCCCCGTAATGTCCTTGGCTATGTTACCCCAGTAAGTTCCTATCTTTAGCTGCAATGCTGAAGCATGTCTTTTGAATCCATGAAGCTTTTTGTTATCATCTAAGTTTTAAAATCATATTTTTCTGCCTTCAACCTCAAATAATTTGTTCATGAGGGCACAACCTAACTTTTCCTGAAAACTTAAACATGAAGATGGAGACCAAGCCTATCCATGAGCTAGGTTTTATGCATTTGCAGTAAAAAAAAGTGTACCATGTCATTTCTTTGCCAACAGTGGAACAACCATGGATATAGGGTGGCCTCAATGTTCCCAAAAAAATTCACATGGATATCCCCAGTCTGGTTTCAGGTGAAACCAGGTCCAAGTTTTTCTGATACAGGAGAAGTTTCTTTTGATGGCCTTCATGATGTTGACCAAAATTGGACCAGGAAACTACAAGATGCTGGAGTCAAAGGTGTGTTAGTTCTTAGTGATGAAGAATATAATTTCTTCTGTCCTTCAGTAGCTAAGTTCACTTGGACTTATGCAACATTGGTATATGTGTTATCCAGTTGTTCCTCGACTTCTTTTCGAGGGTTGGAGTGGAAACCAGTTGTACACCTTGCTTGAAAACTCAAGAATCCAGGAGAAAGTACTTGCAACTATTTTTCACCAATATTTGGTTAGTTATTAATTTTTCAATATTTTTCACTTGCGTTTCTTTCTCATTCATGCATAATTGAGGTGAAACGGTTTTACTAGTTATTGCTGACCATGCATTATTATGACTACCTGCATAGTTTTTCCCTGACCTTTGAGGATCTACAGGTCAAAAGTGGCTTTTAATGTCCTGGTCCACTGTCACCATCTTTCTGTAGTCATCTAAATACCTATAAAACCATTGTAAAGCCCACTCACCATTTTCTGTTTTGTCAGAATGAAAGTCAATTTTTTTCTAAACCTGCTTATTTAAATACATGGTTCTGGAAAATTTTCAATACTGTCATATATCTAATTTTTAAAGCACTTGAATGACCAATGTTTCATCTGCAGAAGTTGAAAATGGATGGACTTGTGCTGGAGATATGGAGACAAACACCAGCTCAACTGCATCCCCTGCTTGTGTCTTTTCTCTCTCGTTTTGGACAGACAGCCAGGCAGAATAACTTTGAGTTCATTCTTGTCATCCCACCACCATCTGTTCATGAGTGAGTCCATTATGTTTCTTTAGTGGATTTCGTCTTTACGTTGTTGGGAATGCTGACCTGAGTCAAGGGAAGAAGGGAAGGTAGAACACTTTATATTCCTGACATACTCCATTCTTGCTACTATCCCCAGTAATCATTGCCATTTTTACCACTCATGACAGGTCCCCCCCCAAATCTGCAGGAAGTTGAAGCAATTTCTAGAGGGGAAAACATCCATCTAAAGGGATAGTATACTAATGAATCACATCATTTACTAGAGAATGGTGTCATTGGAAAATAGTCCACTTAAGAGAAGAAATTCTTGTGCATTCCAAGGAACCTCTAGATTTGCATGAAGAAGCACCTGTTAATGTGGATGTGGATCAACTTATTGTAGCTTTGCAGAAAGCAGAACCAATCTTTAATAGAATGAGAAAACTATGGTATCTTAGATCATGAAGTTGTCTATGGGATGGGTAGTTGGGATGAAATAGCATGGGAAGTGAACCATTCATATGATTGCAACCTTTTCTTCTTTTTTTTTAAAAACACTATAGGCCTTATGCATGGTTCATGTTAACTTGCTGTAGTGAGTCCCTGACTCATATTTGCAAAACATCTAAATCTGTGGGACTTATTGACAACCACTTGAACATGTTCCCACTGAGCTGAAGCTAGGCACCAGGACTCAAGATGTAAAAAAGCTAGTGTGAACTTATGCATGAAATCTAAACAACTAAGACTTTTCACTTAATAATGTACTCCTATGAGAGTCCATTTAACAGAATCAGTGTTCTACAGTGTGGACACAATATTTGTTACCAAAAAGAATAAATTCTGGAGACTTAACTATCAAAACTGCAAAATTGAAACCCAGGATGGTAGTAGAAAGGTGGAGTTTTTTTTTTCAACCCCCTCCTCATTTTGAACAGAACCAACATGGAGCCACTGACCAAAAAAAATTAATTTCTTCGATTTTGGCACAATTTCTCCCAGGAATGCCACTGATGCTCCTCTTATATCTTTCATTTGAGTAATGATTGATTACTAAGATGAAGGTGTTTAAAATCCTGGACTAGAATCTAAAAGGAACTAAAAGTTGTTTCACAGACAGATGAGCAAGAGAAAGTTGACAAAGAGAAAGTTTAATAAGTTTAGCCTCTAGAATTCTTTCTTTTTGTTCACAAACTTTGTGTTTGCCCTGTATGTGGTACTACACATCCTGGAAAATATTTGATGGCAATCTCCCTGTAACAACATATCCCATTCCATCATGTCTAGCTACTCATTGTGACATATTACCCTTATGGTGAGCTGCTGCAGAAATGAAGTCATATTCTATTCTAGAGATGGGAGTGTAACATGAGCTTAAATCCATAATAACAGGTTACCAGATTAAGAATGCTAAAGTGTTTTCTGAAATGTTAAATGCAGCTTTCTACACACCTTCCAGGGATAATGAAGACTCCATGCTGGGTTACTTCACACCACAGAACTTTCAATCTCTCTTGTCTGATGTCACTGCCTTCTCCTTCATGACCTATGACTTTTCAAGTGTTGCCAAGCCTGGTGAGTTATTCTCTCTGCTTCATGAAAATTTTGGTCATAGCAATGTTAGGTTCTCCACCACATTCTTGAGCATCAATAACCAAGAAGATTTTAAAAGGATTGCATTAGAAAGTATCAGCTATCATGTGACAATTCACCCCTTAAATGCATTCTAAAGCTACAAGGGTCCCCCCCACCCCCCCCCCCCCCCCAAAAAAAGTTTCTGGATTCAACACCTTAAATTGATGCTAGAGCAAAGTGCTTCATGCTCCAGGACCATAATTTATTCCTGACTTCTCAACATAATCTCCAGATAGAATTATGCACTTTTTCATGCACCTGAACCACTTATCAAAACACACTCTGAAACACCATTCCATTATCATTATATAATTAAATAAATAATTAAAATCAATTAAGTGAGTTAATTGATTTGTAACTTCAAAAATTAATATTTTGTATGCTAGGAAAATAATAAAATGCTCAAAATTAAAAGCCAGGAAAATTTTCTTGCATAGAGCTACATAACATTGGGCAACATTCCCTTGATTCCTAGGTGCAACTACAAATGCACTGTCAATGCTGTCAAACAGTGATATCTCATGAACCCATTGAGTGCCAACCTTGAATTTTGTATCGTTAGAAAGGGCATAGCAGGCACTTTTAAATTGTGTATTAGAAGTCTGGATTCATGGAGTGGAAAGTGCAGGTGTCAGGCACTGAAGTCAGTCTAAGTGTTCGAACAAGTGGAAATTTGGCCCTACTGGCACGCAAAAATATTCAAATCTCGCCAAACCACTGAGTGCCAATCTTGAATTTGGTATTGTCAGAAATGGCATACTATGCCCTTTCTAATGAAGTATTGAAGCAATGAATTCACGAGGTGGCAATTGTCGCTATTGGCCACTGAACTTGATCAAACTGTTTGATCAAGTGAAGTTTATTGTTTCACTTTAGGAAAATATTGTCTGGGATCATTTGAAAGACGGCAATCTCACGATTAAAATGACACCAGAATGAAGCTTTTATCTTAACTAGAGGGGAAGTTATTACAGAAACAGTTTCACAATTTCAGTCCATATGGGTGCTGGGAGCAAAAATTATGTCTCATTAAAATGCATATATCTGGAGATCTGTGGGAGAGATAAAAAATTGGTTGAAATTGGTCTCTTTAAATTGATTCCTCTTTGTGTATAACAATTTTTGTCAAAATCTGAGATGGTCAAGCTTTTTTGCTGGTCAATTTGGCATGGAATGACCATAAGCCAGTTTCCCTTTCAGTCCTTGAATTCTTGTTTGATGTGCCAGCAGGAGTCAAAAAGATCTAAGTATGCTTTTATTAATTTTTTTGGATTTCATGAGGTGTTGCTTAAGTTTGCTTTTGGATTTTACATGGGATGCCATAGTAAATTTTGGAGTGCTGGTCATTGTGTCAAATCAGTAAATTGAAACACATAGGATGAAAGTGCCATGAAATGGCATTAAGATTTGTGTACTGAAAATACTATATATTCTTTGGGATATAGCATTAATTTATTTAAATTTGATTTTGGATCTTGCAGGTCCAAACAGCCCATTGCCATGGGTACAAGGTTGCATCAAGCTCCTCTTATCAGGCATCCCTGAAGGAGACCAAGTGATGATGCATGAGGCCTCTTCAAAAATACTTGTTGGATTAAACTTTTATGGTATGGACTACACTGCCACTGGAGGCCGACCCATCCTTGGTAGAGAGCTTCAGAACCACATCAGTGATGCTGAAAATCAGCTTGAAGATGTCCAAGTCCATTTCTCAGATGAAGCTGTGGAGCACTTTTTCTCATTCAGGTCTGACATTCATCCTTTCTTCATCCTGCACCTTCTTTCAAAAAGGATGGGGTCGCTCATGAGGGGTGAAAGTCACAGCTCATGTCACAGCATTTACTTATTAGGTTACAATAAATGCTGAAAATAACCACCAGCTAATGCCATACACAACTGACATTGGCAGATGATGGATGGCATTTGCTGCCTTATCAGTGCATTTTCCTTATGAACTATACTGGGTGAGCCAAAAAAAAGTGCTGCTATTTGGAATTCTTCCATATTCATGAGACAGGTGATAAAGCAGAGTTTTTGTCCTAATTCTTCTACCTATCCTCTAAATGCTTCAAAGTTTCATCTTCCTATCTTCACCACATGAGTGATTTTATAAAAGAAACTCTTTTATCTTTGTGCTCACGCAATTGTCACAAACTGGCTTTCTGACCTGTGGTACTGGCTTGAATTCCCAATTTTTTAAAAACCTTTTTTCTTCCTGCACTTTGGAATTTACTGAATATATCTCTGTCTCACCCCTTTGTCTCTGGTCATTTGTGACTGGGGCTTTTGGGTACCTGTATCATTTCTTGCACATAAGCACTCTTCAGTTTTACCATATCCCACATTAATTAAATGGGACTTTTTCTGGCATTTTAACCGACTTATTTCAGCAGAGAGTCGAATTTTTTATTCCATCTTTTAAAATTTGTATCTTCAAAACTACTGAGTGGAACTCCAAGAGTAGTACAGAGCTGTCATGCAGTCTGAAAGTATGGGTATGCTCTACTACACAATGTCTGGGAGGCTGATATGAATTTCACTACACTACTATGCTATGTGCAAGAGAGGGATAACTTAATTTTAGCTTACTGGTTCCTCTCAGAAGAACCAACCTCCCATGGTTTGTTTGTTAATCCCACTAATACTTGTTCTAGTGCAAAAATGAAATTTGAGTTGCATTTGTAAGTTGTGCATGTGAAAAAAAAAAGATATTAATTTAAAGTTGTCTAGAGGATATGTATCAGTAGAAGTCACTGCAAAAAAGAACTTACTTGTGCCATTTGCTGTCTCATAATTGCTTGAGGAGTGGGTTTTTTTAATGCCTGCAAGATCCCCCACAATGAATATATGGAGGGCAGGATAGCATCAGCCTGTAAATATACAGGCTTACTCCCAAAAGGTTTAAAGAGTAGCATGTTTCCTGCCTTATCTAGTGTATCCCTCTTTATTGTGTGACCCAAAAATGATTCCCTTCTATACTTATGTGCAGATTGAACATCATATGAAGTATCAGCAGGAAATATACATGGTGTTGCATTTAACATGAGATAGAGAACATTTTCATGGATAATTCAATAAAATTTATTTCAGAATCCAAGTAACAACTTTTCTTCTACACAACATTAAGTTAGCAATTGCATCTGTGTGCAAACCCTGGATGCCTCCTCCATTCATGATGGCAAGTCCTACCCTTGTCCAACTGAACATGCAGAGACAAACACTTGCACATTTGTCATTGTAAAAAAGACACCTGTTCCAGGCTTCCAAACAACCAATATTTTAATAATTTTTTTTTAAACCACCTAAACATGGTGGATGTGACATCCTGTAAATTTCTTTGTTGGAGAGTTCATGTCTGCATCTACTGTCATTCTTATCTTCTGCTTCCATGTAGGGAGAAAGGCCAGCAACATCTGGTGTTCTTTCCTACTGTCCATTCCATTCAAGCGCGACTGCAGCTGGCAACATCATTTGGTGTTGGAATTGCCATTTGGGAATTGGGACAAGGGATGAATTTCTTCTATGAAGTCCTGTGACACCATCATGACATGATTGCTTCAAAGCTCATGTTTGCCTTCTATCAATGAATTGAGTGTTCTTATACTAGGAACACAAGAATGAGTTGGTAGACTTGATTGTGGATTTTCTGGGTTGGGGACCAAGTGGATCTTTGCCTTTGGGAATTACCCTTGCAAAAAAAACTTTTCTAGTCTGTATTGTTCTATGTGTGGTACTGGAATCAAAAGAGGTTCTAAAAAACATGGAATTATGTTTTGAGCATTGTTGGAAAAGTTCCATTTTAATATAAGAAAGCCCAGCAGGGGTTTTTAAGCCTCTTGTGGGTCCCTCTTGGCCTCCCATGGGCTTCTACACTGTTCCTTTCTCCTTTTTTTTTCCTTTCTGCACTGTATAAGATGTAGTTGAGGAGTTTCATGAAAACTTGTTCAAGTGGTTATTGCTGTATTTTTGCATTTCAGTAATGCAATAGTAGATTGGACTTCTCCGGAGATCAGCAGATATGGAGGCACTGTACCATCAGACCAATCATATGGTTGATGAAACTCAGGCCTCATTTGTTCATTTGGAGAAGGCTGTTGGTGATCGTGCATTGCAGGTTGAATCGGAGATCCAGGCTCGCATTGACAAGATAACCAGGTTGACTCTTTTTTTATTAATAGAAACTCAATGTGATCATGTCATTTTTACCAGCTCTTAGTCTGTGGGGTGTACTAATTTTTTTTATCGTTGCAGCAATTGTGAGCGGTTAGAAGTATTGGTACACAAGGAGGTCCCAACAAGGCGTCAGAATGCAAAATTGAGACTCGATCAGCTGAAGTATGACTGTCAGCATCTCCAGGTTTGCATACTTCTTGTAATAGAATATGAAAAGCCATTAAATTTGGCTGCCCCTTAAAAAAAAAAAAAAAAAAAAAAACAAAAGAGAGAGAGAGAGAAAAGAAAAGGAGAAAAGAACTACTTAGCAGGTTAAAGCAGCACCTACAAAAGGGTGTTCACTGAAGAATGGAACTCCTTTGTTGAACTATGACTTGGAATATTTTGTCTTTCATTCTGGCAAGGCCAAGGCCTAAGAAACAGATTACTCCCTCCCCATTTTCCAGAGCCCTGATTTTTTTCTTTTGGGGGTGTTCACTGTATGGTGTACTCATCATCATGAATCACTTCCATGGACCTCACCAATGGACCATTTCACTCTCTAAATTCTGCAGCAAGCCACGATTAACTTGATGGTATGGCTTAAAGCCTGATGCTGGTGAAACCCTACCTTTTTGCACCTCTATACAAGAGGGAGAAGAACTATAATTTCCCATGTAGAACTGTAGAACTATAATTTCCCATGGTAGCAGACAGCATCTACTGCTGTGAAGCCATGGAAAACTGCTTCTAGTTCCAAGACCACTTCTGGAAGTCCTGACATCCCTGGTTATAAATTATCCACTTGCCACTGTCATTCATGCACCCATCAGCAGAGGTGGGCAGTATTTAAAATAGTTGTATTTAAAATATGTCTAGGGCATTCATAAATTATTGAAGGGGTTTGAAAATATATATCTTTAAAACTATTGGGAAAACCTTGGTCAGATTTGCAGGAAGCAGTAGCTAAGCACTATACAATATTTACTGTTAAAACTTACCCTTAGTAAACTTCAATGTGGGCTCTATATTTGGCTCTGCACAGAACCAGGGAAAAATTCAATCTCTGTCCATGATTTCTCAAACATTTCTGAAGTGTTGAAGCTGCATCTCTTATTCTCTCCTTTGAAGCCTCCAAACTTGATTCATTTTGGACATGGTGTATTACTTTTCATTTTCCCTTTATAAATTCCATAGGAGTCATGTTTTGAGACTGATGGCCATGGGATTGACCCTTTCTTGAGTAGCATAATCCCAGTTTCTTGGAACTGCCTACACCACCTTCTAGATTAATTGTCTCCTGGAGACTGTTAGTTTTGAAAAAACTTATTTTGAATTTGTATGGAACCATGGAATTTAATTTCAAAAATTACAAAACACATTAAGCTTTTTCTTGCATGGTAGCCATTAATTGATTGGCTGATGCAAGAAATTTACCCCATCTCAATTCCTCTTCTTCCTCCACTGCCTTAGTCACATATGCATCAAAACATACATGTAAAAAATATATAAATAATGTTAAGCTACAATCAGCAAACCTGGTCAATTTATTGCAAGTAGCTTTCAAAATATGTTTTTTTAACCCCTTCCATAATTTATGGACACCCTGTATTTCAATACATTTGAGGTATTTTGTATTTAAATACATATCACAAGATCCATTTGTATTTTATGCTTGAATTATAGTTCTCTGCACAAAATGCATTTTCAAATACATTTGACAAAGTATAAAATACTAATTGGTTTGGTGCAACCCTAAACATGGCTAACTCAGAAGACTTGCCTTTATTGGATGAGAAGTTCTTCAGTAATGTTGAATGAGAGGGCCAGAAAGTCAAGGCCAAATGTGCTGCATGCCCTACAGAGAAAGTGATTAGTGGAACTTTCACTGTAACAACCAACTTCTTCATGCCTTTGAAGGTTGATTGTGTTGCAGTATCTTGATGTGAAAATGCTGACCTAGCCTACCCTTGGCCTAAGCCAGGTTTTTTATTTTGTTATATATTGGTCATCTTTAGTCCTAGGCCTTGTGCAAGCTTGAATCTTGACATTATTTCTATTCTTTGATTTCAGAGAGTACCTCCAGATCTTGTTAGGATTATGAATGGTATAAGAAGCAGTCTGGGATTTGGAAAGGAAAACAGAAACAATGCTTTACTCAGCCAATGTGCTGTTGAAAGCCAATGGTCGAAACTTCCTAAGTGTTCCTAATTTTTGGCAAAATCTGAAAGGCATGATGTAAAACTGAAAATTTTTTTATTTTGTATTTTCAACTGTATTTTAAAGTAATTTATGTTATAAATGAAGAACATGAGACCCTAATTTGTGCTTTGATTCTAGATTCAAATCTTAAATGTTGGTATTTGACAATATGCCTAATGATTCTTGTGGCCTCTTTGCAGTGGCCCTTGGTGAGATTAGGTTCTCTTACTTTATGCATCTTCCGACTTCCTTGATGTGCTCCCTGTTTCTGATTGAACATGGACAATTTTTGCAGTTTATGACTACTGTGTAGTTGATTTCATTAATTTCTTGTACAAATCAAGACACTGGAGCTGTTGAACTTGATCTCCATTTTGCAACAAACTTTTTCATATGGAGAGAGAATATAAATAACCTCTTCATAAAGGCTTTGCCTATGCATCTCAGTGAGTCCCTGCAGTTCTTATTAGGAAAATCACTGACTGAAAGCTGATGCTACTTGTATAGACTTTATGCATTCTTCATAATGATATCATTGACAGCCTTGTGTAAGAAAACATGCTCATTATGTTAAATGTGTTCCATTATTCTCAATTGAATAATAGTATCCTTCTTGAAGCACCTATGAGAAGTGGACTTTGTTGCTTTGCAGGCTGCTCTGCGAAACCTTCAACACAAAAGATATGCCAGGGAACGAGAGCTGATGGAAAGGGAAGAGCTGCTTACACGGCGCTTCACACCTAATGACCAGTCTGATACTTCAGTTCTCATTGACTATGCTCTTCAGCAACATACTTCCCTACAAGTGAGAATTCTGTAATCATCTGACCCAGTGGCATATTTTATGGGATGGGGGGACAGCGCCCCCCCCTCAAGGTAATATCGCTTGAGTTGGGCTTAGTGCAGCCACTCTGCTGCCCTGCCCTCCCTGACTCCTCAGCTAAAATGCACCACTGATCTGACCTGTACTGCATGCTTTAAGCCCTGCAAATAAGGTATCATAATTACAACTGCATGGTTCCACATTGCAGAACACAAATCGTGGCCTGGATGAATTGATTGGTTCAGGAACAAGCATTCTGAGCAATCTTCGAGACCAGCGTACATCTCTAAAAGGAGTGCAGAAGAAAGTCTTGGATGTGGCCAACATGCTAGGAATGAGCAACACTGTCCTCAGGCTCATCGAGCAAAGGACGTATCGCGACAAATTCATCCTCTGGGGTGGCATGCTTTTTGTGTGCCTCTTCATGTTCCTGGTGGTATACTATATCCTGTGATGCATCCATCTTTTGCAGAGTTCATGTAATTGTTCCATTCATGTGATGATTCTTCCTACTGAAAGCATCCTCAGTTACTTGGGAAATCTTGATATTTTTGTCCAACCCATTTGGGGAAAACTCATGCTCTTATATTTTTATCATTCCAATACATTGTATATTAAATGTGCTGGTTTGCATGTAGAAGGTATTATATGATGCTAGCAGTTGCCTCTTAAGTGAAGATTCAAGATGACTTTCATGGCTGTCAGTTTGTGCTCTTCCTTCATGACCATACGAATTGATACAAAACCTGAAATGGAAATACATGCATTTTTAAAGGACTTTATTGCTCTCATTCTCTCCAATCAACTCAGAAGGATGAAATATGACGTACTCCTTTAACGTAAGAAATTCTGTTGGCTAACTTCTTATCCGGCACAAGCTTTCTGCGACGTGTGTCGGTTTTCCCTGACATTGTTTTCTAACCACCTTCGCTTTTTTTACTTTCTTCACCTCCCAACAAGTTGCTTCGAGCGTAATTCTTAGGTGACCCCTTACTCCGATCATACAATATCAGAATACAATCATTCGTCTGGTTATTGAACACATGGATACACTGTGGCAAGTTGAAAGTAGAAAGGCACAACCCAAGAGACGAAATGACCTACGAAGGAGGTTGGGGGGGGGGGGAAGCAGGAAGTTTGAGCTCGTTGTTCAGCTGACTTAATACCGAGCCTCCCTTCTAGAATAAATCCTGCGTACGCCCCTACCAAGAATCCAAGAACGTCGGCACTGCCGAGCTGGCCTGAACGGGCACACAGAGAGCGATTTTTCGTCGGGGCCCGAAAAAACGCCAAGGAAGGACACACTCGAGTCCCGTTCAACGAGACCTGGTCAGCCCCGCAATGTGTCTCTCGATGGGGAACAGAGACGTCCCCATTTTCACGCTTACGTAAGTTCATCATTTCTTGAGGTGGAACGCGCTCCCAGTTGGTTTGTCTGGTTCTTCACGGAATCGGCCAACCGCGTAATCAGTCGGACTGAGACTCACATGCTCAGATGATGCGAACCTCACCCTCTCCTTGCCTGACCCACACCTGTGCTCATATAGCAATAATATAATTTACCAATATAGGTAAATATTATAATAATGTGTAAATGTGATATATTTGTATTTATATTTTTGGCGATAGTGACGCTTCCGTGCCATGCCAGGAACCTAAGCGCGGCCCGTCTCGCAGGATACCTCTATCAAGTCGAACTGCTCCTGTCTACAAAAAATGACGGGTTGTACAAGTGAAAACTCCCTTTTCAAGGTTTCCACTTTGAGCTGACCCCTATATTTCGTGACAAGTGAATCGTGATGACGGTTAAATTCAGGATGACAAGGACGCGGTTTTCCCGGTCTCCACCCCTCCCCTTGGCCGTGCATCGGCGAAATTTCAACATCGTAAAGCCACGGTCGGGAACAAGCTGCCCGCAGAAGCCCTCCCTTTGGCCTGCGAAAGCCCGGCTATCGCACATGACGGTCTGACAGTAGACGTTCGACTGCACGTCTGACATCATACGTTCGCAAAAATTGTCATTTTAATGGCACTTGACAGGTGTTGGCCTGCAAAATAGCATCATTCTGCCATTCGGCCCCCCGCGGAATTCAGTTGCCGACTGTCGTAAAGGATTCGCATCTACCGTGATGGACGTCGGACGTCGCAGGTCCGGCCGGGAAGACACCCAGGAAGTGACGTCTTTCCGCACGCCTGCGTCAATTTTTAATTTGAATAATACTGAGCCTGTCGAGTACGCAGCATGAAGGAAGAGAGTGTGTGCGTGAGTGCGTGAGTGCGAGAGAGAGAGTGAGAGTGAGAGTGAGGAGTGCCGGACTGCCAGGCCACGTAGCCAAATTCGTGACTCGGTCACGCAGGCGCATGCTGCCTCTTTCCCCTTTCTCTTCCCATGTCCTCGTGGTTTCATCTGCCAGCTAGTTGGGTAAATGAACGCAAGGAGAGTCCGAAAGGATTGAAAGTCACCGGTATCGTCACTGAGAATATCGTAGCGCGTTCAGTTTGGAAACTCAGACGTCCTTAACGTGCATCGATTAAATATTCGAATAAGTTTCTTACATGGAGTTTTACTTCTTAGACAACAGACATCGACCGACCGGATACAAAGAGGGCCCTAGGGTTATATATATTTTTTATAACGTGGGCTCACGCACACAGATACTCGTAATGAAATAACAGATCCCCACACCGAACCGTTACGGCACCGGAACGGCGTGCACCGATTCACCACATGGCGACGAAAGCGGCGGCGACGCAAGTGGTCTTCAAACAGCAGGATCGTGTTCATCATCCATCCATGCATATATTCGGGTTGCTTTCCGGAACTCTTTGTCGAAATCTGTCGGCACGGGACGACGATACGTGATCAAGTGCACAACAAATATGTCAATTGTTAAGGTTGAGAGGGCATACGAGGGATTGAAGAAGAAACAAATATTCATGCCGATGCACAGCCCCCTGCATTAAACAGTTTCGACACGCGATGACGACATGCTCTAACATCAACTTTCAGACTTTTTTATTCGTGTACGAAATTTTCCATATTCAAGATGGTTCCCTTTCCGTATCGACCGGTGGACGCTCTGCAAGGCTCATCAGCCTCTGCTAATTATTTTAAAAGATGAGTGGCGTGCCTGAAGACAATGAATTCCCATCTGTCAACAGGGGAAACTATTTCCTGAAACTCGGAGTCCAATATGCTTAGCAAACGATGCGCATTTTATAGTTTTCTCTAATCGAATTAAATTTCACGCGTCGACAGGAACTCATTATCGAACGCGATATTGGCCCCGGCATGCAGTCGACACTGTTTTCGTGTACTTTCCAATTTTACAACGTTTAACGCAGCGAAGTACTTGGAGAAAAGGAACTAGGTCCGAAAGCACTCACCTCACTTGAACGAAATGAAGGGATCCTTAACCCTTATACGCTCAGCGCGCCGATCCATCGGCTTCGTCTAAATCATACTCTTTTAGTTACATAAATGGCTCAAAGGTTGTTTTTGTTGTTTAGTTACATAAATGACTCAAAGTGCTTCCCTAAACACAGGTGCTAACTGCAAAAGGTACGAATGCATTGTTTTACATAATGTGATGTAGTTCCGGACCAGAGAGTGCTTTAGGCCAGGTATTTGAAATTAGGCTGAGTGCGAAAGTGTTAAGCTTAAGAACTCCCTCCCCCCTCCCCCAAGGAGTCCACGTATTTTAAAAGGAAAGTTAACCCGAGGGGGATTCAGCATTCGAGTAATAGGTTTTAAATCTGTCGGATGCATCGGAGGCTGGGTCTCGAGGCGGGGGGGGGGGGGGGGGGGGGGGGGCGGGGGGGGGGGGGGGGGGGGGGGGGGGGAAGGGAAGACATATACCAGACAAAAACTCGACGAGCGACTTGCTCCAGGTGTTCTCGGCGTCTGCTTCGCGGTCCGCATCTGTGACGTAGTCCACATCTGTTGCAGGTTTCGTGCGGTGGACCTCCTCCAGGAGAATTGCCTCCTGGATCATCTTTCGTCCTCCACTGCTTCGAGTGACTGCGGGGGTCCCTGCGAGGGAACGAGACGAGCACTTTCAGAACCTCATTTGGGGTCGGTGTACGTTTCGCAGGCCGTGGGGTAGATCGCTTCCTATTATATGCGAGATGCCTTCTCGCGCTCCATCGGCATTTTTTCGTCCTTGACGAGAGTGAACTCCGCTCCGAAGAGCACGTTTAACGGACTGCACGCGCCGTAGTTTTACGGCCTTCTTACTGGCATTCGCAATTCTGTTACATAAAATTTTGATCCTCTTCTGCTCAGAAGAGACGACATTTCCTATTCTGAGACAGGTATCACGCAACGGTTGGGCACGATACAGGGAATAATCCTGTCCGCAGTTTCGCTGCATCTAAGAGGCCCATGAACTACACTTGGCAACGAAACAAGTCCTGAAAACAAGGAAGCTAAACGTTGCTGCAGCTCGAAGAAAATATCGAGCAACTTTCATTTACGTTGCGGCCAACTGTCGTCGGCCACAAGATCAGGTAAGAGACTACTACGTTTTACAGGCACAAGGACGAGGGAAAAAAAAAAAGCATACTCCTCACCCTTCTTTCTCCTTGTTACGAGCAGGAAGTTCATGTCGCAATACTAAGGAAGTATGCTAAGGCCTCATCCTGAAAGTAAACACATTTCTGGTCTTCGTCAATACTCCATGCTTTGATCTTCTGACTGATAAGGTTCAACCGAAGGACTATTAGGACGGCGAGCCGAGTCATGAACCACGCCATCAAAGGGCTTGTGGACGGGAGGGATGTCAGGCGGGAAGAAGGGAAGTCGGACGGGTAGAGAGAGGGATGTCAGCCCGGATGAGGGAAGTCGAACAGGAAGAGAGGGATGTCAGGCGGGAAGAAGGATGTCGGACGGCGTGAATCGTTTCGGAATTCGATAAGGAATTCAACAAGATTGCAGTTTTTATGGAATGGAAACTCGTCGGGGGGAAACGCCTTCCATCAGGATGTTCCATCACCGTACTGCATTATTACGATGATCGATTCGGAATGGAGTTCTTCCATTCAATTTGCTCCATCCGAGAATTGAGAAAAAGGAGGGGAGATTTAATGGGAAGGCGGTGTATCTTGCAAGGCGTTGAGTGAAGTTTCAAAGCACACACTTGACGGGTGGTTTCGCCTCGCGTCGCTCGCGGAAGTCGGTCGGGGATTCTTTGTTTTCTTAGTCGTGGGGCAAAATCTCCATCAGACGACGGTATTTGCTCGTGGCTTCGTCTTTCAGTGGAGTTTTCCTAGCCGTAACACGAGTTGGGGATCTTTCCCTTTTGTCCCCGTCAAAGTAAGCAAATGATTGTCCCCGTTCATTAATTCTTCTGTGTAATTTCTTCCTCGTAAATTGTTCTACCGTTCTTCCGCATACGATGAGAACAAACGAATCTCACATTAAGAATCACAATTCCAGGAACGATGTAAATCTAGAATTTTCCATTGTGAAACGAGAGAAGCAAAAGAAACATAATATAGTATTACACGCAGATTCCTGACGTAACGCTCGCGACTGTTAAGATAAGGCCAGATGCAGTAGCCAGACGCCGTAGCCATATGACGCAGCGGCCGAGAGAAACTTTTTTCACGGAATATTCCCAGCACCAGGAAATAGACTATCATAATGTGTAGAACAGATATTGCCTTACATTTTTTTTTCTCTTCACTTGTTGCGGCCTTGTTCGAGGATTTCAAGCAAAGAGGCACAGTTTGGAGATTATGGTTGTAACACGATTATAAATGCTTTTATCCGCCTTGAATGAACGCTTTTCATCTCACCCTTTCCTTTCGTTCGATATTCTCATTATTGCTTCGCATATCGTGCAAATCGTTATCCTCCTCCCCTAAGATCATCTCTGGGTTACCAGGAAGGATTTTCCATCGGAGTTCCGATTCCAGGAACGTCGAAAATTGGTAATTTCTCGTTGAAAGTAGTAAGGACGCTCGGAAGATCGTATATATGGTAATGCAAGACGCGACCGACGCCGTGATGAGCCGCCAACGAGATGCATAAAGCAGGAGGCAGCAGCCGAGAGAAGCTCTTCCAAGAGGAACCACAACGAGGAGTGTTCTCGTCCTACTTTGCCTTCCCACTCCGCGCGGTTCAAGTAGTTCAGGGATGTTCCAGACCCTCCTTTTCGCTTCGGTTGGAATTAGGCGCCGTTCGTCCTCGGGAGGCGCGATGGAGTCATCCGGAGCAAGCGGTGGGCGTGTTCGGTTGCGAGCCGGGTCGGGGCTTCGAGGTCCCGGGACGACCGGGTTCGGGGTGGGGGCATCGAGAGGCATCGACGGTTCCTAATGAGGTCGGCAGAACGACAGGAAATGACTCTCGAAGTACCCGAGCCACAAACGCGGCGTCTCGACCCGAGTCGCAAGTGAATGCGCGGCTCTTGCCAAGATCTGCACCTGATCGAACTCACCTCGTTGAGCAGCGGAATGCTTCTCCTCTTTCGGTCTCTGCGGGTCGAAGACCCTCCTGACCCGGTCGATCGATTCGGCGAGTCCACGGGCCGTTTCGTCTTGATTTCCTGAAGAAAAATCGGGACCTTCCCCAGGGACGACCTGTGAAGAGAAAAAAAAATGTAAGGCAATATCTGTTCTACACATTATGATAGTCTATTTCCTGGTGCTGGGGATGTTAACCCCTCCTCTTCCCCCCTCCCCCCCACATTTTGCTTTCTATCTGGCCCTTGAAGATAACAGTGCATTCAGACATCAATTGGTCGCCTAATTAAGTTTAGATTGTACAGCTTAGGTTCTTTCTGTGCGAAGAGGGCTTTTCAGAAGAGTAGGAATCGCATGAGACAACTTCCGACTTACAGCATTGCTAAAAAAAACATCGCCTCATTCTGCGATAAAGTTCCGCAAGGAACTTTTGCCCTCGATTTCTGCTCGATGGCGCCTCTCAGTCGGGTTCCCCCCTTTTTCTTTTTCTCATTCATCCGTCACATCCGCATGTCTCTGGGAGTGCCGTGAGCACGGCCGGCCTCAGGCGTGTGGCACGTGTGCCACATGTGCCCCCGCACAGGGCGCAAATTCGCCAGGGGCGTCAAGGTCTTAATAAATAAGGCAATAATGGATGCCAACCGCCGTTTTACTTCAGAAAGTGAAAATGCCTTCCGTTTTCGGACGCGAGGGATTGACCTTTCGCTGCCTTTCTCCCTTCTGAGGGCGGGGGGGGGGGGGGGGGGGGGGGGGGGGCGGTCGCTGCCTTTCTCCCTTCTGAGGGCGGGGGGGGGGGAGAGGGGGGGAGCGCGTTTGGAGTCTCTTTGCACAGGGCGTCGAAGCAGCCAGGGCCGGCCCTGGCCGTGAGGTTCGTCGAGTGAGGGCGAGACCTCAAATTTTCAAGGTTAGAGGGACGAGAAGAATGGAGTTCGGTCGGGTTGCTCTGCATCTTCTTCCTCAAGACAGTTCGACTTTCCGAGAAGCGTCGCACTGGTTATCGGGAATCGCTAATCCCGGGTCGAGCGACTCGTATACAATGCAGTTTCGTGCGGTATGAATTGCGTCATTGTTTTTGCCAAGGCCATTCTCGAGTCATTCATTTATTCCTTTGTGGTGAGACTCATTGTATTCGTCACTAATACGCGGTACCTGCTCGAGTTCGGATCGGAAGTCGAAGCGGAAAGCCCTCGGATCATCAAGCGTCATCCCGATATCCCGCTTTCCACTTGCCAAGAACAAATCTCCTCTCGCCCTCCCATCGATTGGCGGGGCTTGAAGGACGAAGAGAGAGGCGATTCGGATCCTTGCACGCGAGGGGGAGGGAAGGGGGGAGGTGGGGGGGGGGGGGGGGAGCCTGTCGCGGGAGATTACGGTGCCGTTGTGGAGGTCTCTCCCAGGATCATTGTCTTTGCTTCCTCGGACGTGAAAGGATGGGGAGAAATCAGCGGAGATCTCAGACTCGTGTTGCAATGCGCTCTACTCCTTCTCCCTTGCTTTCGTATGAATCGACCGTTCCTTTTCCTAGCTTTTTTTTTCCGGGGATCTCTTCAATGAGTGATGTGAAGGCAGCCACCCGCGAACGTCTTACTTATCGCTCTCATCAGTATGAAATCAATTTACGAATGATTCCACGATTTTTTTCACTGAATCTCTTTTCCTCATTTTGCGGTGGAGTCATATTCAATCGAGGAGCAATGAAGCCTAATCGAAATCGCCCATTACGGTAATCCATTACAGTCAATTTGGGATGAAAGGCATGCCACTCTCCCCTATAATTTTGAACCCGATGAAAGCCTTGATCGTGCTCAATTCGGGGTATTTCGGGAAATTCGACTGCCCTTCCGCGACATGAATGATGACTCGGTTCGTCGAACCTCGACTGAGGATCGAAGCCGAATCTCGACGGAACGTGATTTCACTCTTAGGAGCAAGTCGTGGTTCAGAGGGCTTTTTTTGTAACGTGGATTTTCCTCTTTCAGCCGAAATAACGCGGAAGTAACGAGGAGAGCAGGACATACAGAGAGAAATGACACGATATAGTGTGTCGTTTGATGGACGTATATGTGTCAAGAGAGAATTTCGTCATATTGATCCTGATAAAACGTGTCACGAGAGTGGACACATTTCAATGCGTCTACAGATGCAGGTAGATGTGTCGAATGACACACTGGAGGAGAAAATATCCCAACGGACGCACTCAATTGTGTCCCGTGACATGCTATAACGTGTCAATTGACACGTCTGTATTACGGTCTGGCGGTACGGAGTAATGTTTCATGAGGCTGGACACATTTAAATGTGTCTACTGATGTGATGTGCCAAATGACACACTTATGTCCATCTAGACTCAGAACACATCATTCCGTGTCGCCCAGGCGATCCAGGACACTTTTTTTTGCGGCATTTGACAGACGGATTTCTTTTCTTTTTTTTTTAGTGCAAGGATTTGCAACCACTTTAGGTTCGACCCAAAATAGAACCCATTCCCTCTTGAAACGGATTTATGCAGAGCGAAAGACGAAAAACGGAAGCAAGCGGTTATCGCCAGCACAAAATGGAAACCGCCGGACTTTCGTCGACGGAGGAAGCGAAACTTCCACGACGGCAAAAATGACCGTCAGCGAACCGCTCCGATCGGATCGCCGGACGAAAAAGGGAAAATATGGACGAAGAATCTTAGATGTAAGGAGCCATCCGCTTTTGTGAGAGGTGTAAGGAACAAAGGGACTAGGTCATGATGGAAAATCCGTAGGAAAATATGGGAGAAAGTTTGGATGTTTGGGCGAGTCCAGGCAGCTCTAAGCAGAGTTTAACCGTCAAAATTAGGCACCTTGCCTCATTAAAATTTTTTTTTTTTGCGGATGATTAGCTTACGATGTTTTAAGAGGCCTAGTTTCAATTTAATATCCCACCGGCACAATAATGCAGTATCTTTCCAGCTAAAAACGCGATCGCTCGGTATAAATTGACTTCCTTTCCGGCGAAAAGCGACGGCGGAAAGCGGAAATTTTCGCATTCGAGTTTGATGAACTTCCGCCATTCGTTTTCCGCTCTATATAGATCCAGAAGAGCCTGCATCCCAACGGTTCGCCGACGAAGATATTCGAGTAGGCTGCTGTGAATGCGGATGCGAATGGAATGTCGGCACAGGAGATTCCGAATTGGCTGGAGATGGTTTAAATTCTGCTGCCCGGTCTAATCGTGCCAACAAGCGGGCTATTAAAAATTAATGATAATAATAAAGGAACTCTAAATGACCGACTGAAAATTGTCTTTGTTCAGCAGACCTTGAAGGTAAAGAAAATTATGGGCTTATTTTTTAAAAAACTCAATTGAAGACGATCTTCTGGAAATTCCTTCCTAACAGTGATTTCGATGCATTCGTTCCACCGTGACTTCGAGGTGCAATTAGTTCATCGAAGAATAATTAGTTCACCAATGAGATTCGAGATGGCCGTAATCGAAGGGCCGAAAGGGAAAACTGGTCCATCCACGAAAATTTCATTTTTCCAGTGAATGTGACCGCCTTCTGAAAGGAGAGGAAAAGTAGTAAATGTAGACGGACTGGTTTTTTTCTCTGACGTAACTTCTAAAATCCAACAAACGACGAAGAGAAAAAGGGTTTCAACTACCAGTTTCTCAACCTTTCTTTTTTTTTTTTTTACTGATAAACCTGTATCTCTTTCATCCCTTTGCATGGTCCCGAGTCCAAGCGACTTGCTGTCAGTGACCATGTCAAGAAAGGGCATATATAAGGGCGCCTTGCCTCCTTCACGCCTTCCACGTGGATTTCAAGGTAGATCGGTTTCTTTTTCGGCTTCGTGATGGAGTTTCCTCGTCGATTCCGTTCGATGCTGCCGTTTTCTCTGCGGTGACCTCGAAGCGAACGTCATCGTCGATGGGAATTTTTATTCTTTGTTTCGGCGGGCTCTCATCGCCGATCTGCAGTCTTTCCACGTTTTCGTCGCGATCTCGATCGGTGAAAATCCAAAATGCGACAGTATCGATCGCAATCGGAGCATGGAGGCGCAAGTAGAAAGTTTTTATCGCTTAGATTCATGTCCATCGAAAAATCGTCATCGTGACTTGCTTAAGAAAAAAAAGTTTCAGACGGTATTTTGCTCTATTGCTGGTCCTTTCGGAGACTGTCACAGTGTCATTGAGACTCTCCGGGATGGAAAAATACGGTAATTTGTGGGATTTCTGATAACGGTCTTCTCCTACATCGATCGCGGAAATGAAGATCCGACAGCCCATTGCCCAACCTTGGGCATTCGAGACGTTCCTTCGATTACAATGATCCCACAGAAAGTCCACCCGATCGAGTGACTCGTGTCACTCTGATGTTTCCGGCCATCTCACGTGATTTATAGTCTTACATAACCATGAGGTTTGTCTGGGAGAGAATAAAAAGAATACCATCGTCAATCCTCGCAATATCGACTCGAGGAAATCGATTCAAGCGTTGTTTCGGGCGTTCCCATGGGTATTCCCATGGAATTGAAAACAAAAAAAAATCCTTTATTTAGACGGAGAGACTTGAGGGAATCGAATTCCCTTCCTCCTTTCCTTGGCGAATCCCGCTTCCACCTATGCGATGCGAGCAAAAGGCGCTTCCTAAGCATCGTATGTGCCAGGAATGAGAACGAGAGAACCCACATGCTTATCAGGCAAGGTGTCACGACGTGAAAGTGATCCACACGATGCTTGACTTGCAAACAGCGGTATCGAATGTGTCATACGAGTTGGCGAGCTGCCTATCTGAATGTCGGAATCTCCTCGAACACGGATCAGAACTGACCCATGGGTCGGGGTCACCCCATCTCCGGCTATAAAAATTATAATAAAAAAACAACAGCGAATGCTCGGGTGCAGTGCCTTCCGAGTTCACGCACCCGTTGTTTTCTGTGGGCCTCCCGACGGCAGCGGAAATAACGTTTTCCTCCGGTATTGTGACGTATTCGGTGGATTAGTACCCAATGCCCCCTTTCAGGGTTTTTGAACTCGTCGCGAAAGCTCTGAAGAAAAAAAAAAAAAGGATTTCGGAGTGGTGTGCGCGAAAGAACGGTGCGTCTCGATGCTCCGATGCTCTGCTTCATCTAATGAGGGAAACGGGAAACCTTGGGGAACTGGAGTTTCGAGTTTCCTACTCTTATATTGCCGCTCGATAGCGAAAACTCTTCCACGGACCTCTTCCTCGGGGAATAATGACTGGGACCATAGAGGAACTAGGCACTCCAGGTTTTCATCACTAGCTTGACGATTGCCATTCGGCATCGACTCTGCGCAGCGACTCCCGGACTCCCGAGTCCGAATTCGTCGAGCCACGTCACTCGTCGAGTATTTGCTATCGAGTGCTAACGGTTTCGTGCTGCACCGAACCTCTGGGATTGTTGGGGTCCATGAGTCTCGCAGAGCTTCGTGTTCCAATCCGATTTGCTCGCGATTCAGATCGTCTGCTGCACCACATTAATTGATTTCCACGATGACGTTCGTGGGGTCTCTCTCTCTCTCGCTTCAATTCCAGTCACGATATTGCTTTTTCATGAGATCATTGACATTCCCCCCCACGAACCCTCGCCTCTCCGCAATGCGCTGCTGAATATCTCCCTTTCTTCTTTCAGGGTATTTCCTGCTTTACCGTATAACCCCATTTCCTGCATGAATGCCCTTGAAACGAGGAGACGTTTGTCTATTTATAGCACTTGAAAGATCCCGAGGCGTGCGATTCGGAAATAGACTCGTGTTTACCGCAAAGGGGCACCAGTTTCAACTCATACAACGCCAGTATTATAGTATGCATCAATGGCGTATTTTACAGTGGGGGGGGGGGGGGGGGGGGGGGGGGGGGGCCCCCCCGG